AATCTTAAAAAAAAATAACCTCTTGGGCTATGCCTAAATGGTTATAACTTCTGCACCCCAGTTTTTGCCCAAGTGGTTCTTTAAGGATACCTTTTGGTAGCTGCATTTTTTAATTCTTTTTTTGTGTTGGATCTGGAAAAAACTGTGTGCAACAGTGGATACCATAAAGGACCCGGGAAAATAGAATCAGAATTTGTGAGACAGATGCTTGGAAGGGATTTCCATGACCTTTTACTAGATTGATATGCTGCAGGAGCTGCGAGGAGTAGCTTTAGTAAGCATTGAAGATACTGGAGACCGTGTCTAACTCAAAGGGATCTGCCACAGAGAAATGAGTTCATTGAGTGATCAAGTCAACCTTGTAGCAGTTCCATGAAGAATTACAAAATATTCAGGGCTATCAGTTTATAGCCACAACATAATGCTGAACAAATTTTAAGTGTAATGGATATTGTACTCCTTAAAGGCATACAGTAGAATTTCAAATATATTAGCAGTGGTCTTTAGGTTAATAAAATCATGTTTCAATGATACATTTATGTATCATATACATTTATTTTCTGTGCTAGCAAGTTCTATGACAGAGTCTCTTGGGGAATTTTTTTTCTTTTTTCTTTCTTTATTTCTTTTTTTTTTTTTTTCTGATATGGGATCAGCGATGCCCGTCATGTGCTTATGAAATTGCAGAATAGTTTTGAGTCAGAATGATGACAGTGTAAAAAGGGCAAAGTCAATACTAATTTGATGTAGGGTATGCATGATTTCTCACCAACTACCAAGGATCTGTGTTGGCTAATTATTCAGTTTGCATATTGTAATAACATTATTTGTTGTAAGGCAAATATATCTGCTTTGTGTATTTAGATTTGATAAAATTAGAGGATCCTAGAAAGTGGCTTCAGGATACTTTTCTTTTGACTTAGGGGAAAGGTTTACACCTGAAGAGAATGGTAGTTTTCATGAAGTGCATAAAAATGATTAGTTATACATACACACACACATTAGATCCTTGAGGCAAATAAAGTTTAAGTAAAATTATTATCTTGCAAAGAACTGAATCCTTGAGATTCCTCCACATCTTTTTTTTTTTTTTTTTTTGCTTTTCTTGATTTCTCTGATACTTTCTAAGGACTCCTAAACCTCATTAATATTTCCTTTTATATACTGCAGAACTGCCATGCCTCTAATCGGTTGTTACTCTCTAATTATTTTGACTTTCTCTCTAGGCTTAAGGTTCTTTCTGGCATTAAGTTTGAGACTTAAGAAGAATCAATTAATTTTATGAGTTCCCTGTACTAGCACACTTAAGATCTAGCAATAACCATTATGTAAATGCTGTTTATTAGGAAGGGAATTTGGCACTAAGAAGTACCAGTCCTGATAGAAAATATCAAGAAGCAAAATGAAAAAAGAAATGATAGATTCCTTAGCGAGTATGTTTTCAGACTATTTTTCCATATTGCAACACAAGATTTATTTTTTAAAATTTTATATTATATTATTTTTAAAAAGATTTTATTTATTTATTTATTTATTTATTTATTTAACACAGAGCACAAACAGGTGAGCAGGAAAGGGCAAAGCAGGCTCCTTGCTGAGCAGGTAGCCTGATGCGGGGCTCGATCCTAGAACCCTGGGATCATGACCTGAGCTGAATGCAGATATTTAACCAACTAAGCCAGCCAGGTGCTCCAAGATTTCTTTCTGTCTTTCTTTTTTCTTTTTTTAAAGATTTATTTATTTATTTATTTATTTGAGGTGGTGGAGGGGCAGAGAGAGACATAGAGAGAGAGAATGAGAGAGAGAGCATCTCTGACAGACTTCCTGCTGAGTGCAGAGTGGGACACAGGACTCAATTCCATGACCCCAAGATCACGACTTGAGCTGAAATCAAGAGCCAGATGCTTAAGCAACTGAGCCACCCAGGTGCCCCACAACACAAGATATCTAATTCGAATCTGTTTTTGACTAGGTTTAAAATTATTTCTGCTCATATAAATTTATTCCCTATATTTATAATGTAGATACCAGCTAGGCTTATTAATTATCTATTAATATAAAGTCAAGTTGTTTGGTGAAAAAGACAGTTCATTTACTTGTTGAAATATAACCAGTATAAGAATAACTGCTTTGAGGACATTTTGAGTATGAGAAGACATGTTGAGAATGCCTTAAAAGTACTCTTGTACTGAGCAACATAGCCTTCATTGCAACACATTCCACTAATACAAAATGAAAACATACAGTTGAATCACGACCACCTGAAATTCATTCTTCCTACTATGACAAAATTTACTATGGCAAATAAAGATGAGGAAATACTCATTTTTAATCTGCAATAATAAAATTTCACATTAGGAGGACTGCATAAAAATGTACTTTCTAGGAAGCTGGTTAAAATGTAACTTTAAAACAGTGTTCTAGTAGGTATAAGTAAGTCCAAAAATACCTATTTGGAAAGCATTTGACTAGAGGTCATGAAAGGTCAGTAAAAGAAAAAAAAAAAAAATCTAGGACAAATCTTGTCCTCAAGTTCTCACTGCAAATCCCAGTGAAGCCAATGGAAAGTTTATGGAAATATCTGAAAGGCACATTTGGCCTAGTTCAAAAGAGCTATTAAATTAGTATTTTAATACATTGTCCTAGTTAAGTCTTGTCTTTATGGTCCTTTTAACATTGCTTCACCCAGGGTTCATTCAGAGCTTACTCAGAAGTCACAGAAATGAGGATAGGCTAACAGGATATTTGACCTTTTATCCAATTTCAAAGAGACTTTGACTCCCTAACCTCCCCCAGCCCAAGACTGAGAAGAGAACCCATGTGAAGAAATTCATGGGTCCAAGGCAAGCTTTGTGGTTTTTAATGCCCATACAGTAGGGAGTATAAACAGATGTAAAATGTATAATACTGATGCTTAGCTTTGGAGAATTTGGTCCCTGAAACTAAACTGTATATATGACTGACAATATCTGATGTTACAAATATTGTTATAAATTTTACTTTATACTATTGAGTATATAAATGTCATTGTGGCTGTTACCTTGTGATAAAAGGAAGAAGTCAGGTAACCTTTAACTTCCTGTGCTGTTTTATAGAGCCTTTGTTTTGGCCCAGTACTGCCTCAGTACACTGCAATGGACCTTGCCTATAGCACCAGATTTGGTTTCTGGAAATGCTGGAACAAAGCATCAGTTCATGACATTTTGGAGTCAGTTATCAAAGATTTGACTTCTTCAAAGAGGAGGATTTTGATAAGCACCCATCCTCAGCTTTTAGATTTATCTTTGAAGATACAAGGAGGCTTCAGGGATACCTCTGCTAAGAGAGGAGGGAGCGAGGTGAGACAATCTCTGCTCAAAACCAAGCCTTGTCTTGAAAGGAAAATTTGGACCATAGACTCTGGAGCCAGAAGTACTGAGTTCATGTCCCTGCTCTATCACTTACTACATCTATGACTTCAATGACTTTGTTTAACCTCTCTGGGCCTCAGTGACCGCACCCCTAAAAAATGGACACAAACACAGGACTTTGTGAGAATTTAAAAGTTCAAATATCTAGAGCATTGTTTTTCTTACTTCAGCTCTCATTATTATTTTATACCGAGTACTCTCACTTAGATTTGTCTCTTGGCCCAGCTCTCTGCCTCCCCATTTAAATAATGTAAGGTGGCCTGGATGGGAGAAAGGATGTGTAGAGGCAGAAAGAGATGCGATAAGTAAAGAACAAAGCCGCTTCAGTAAAAACCGTGAGCTCCCCTCCCCCTGTTATATCTTGACAACTATCTGACATCTCACAAAAAGGAGAGAGGACTTCTTTCCTCTATGCAACATGCTCTCTATGGGCCTCTCTGTATCACTAGTCAGTGCCCAAGCAGCACCCAGCCATTCAAAGCGGAAGAGTCAGGTGGGCCCCGACACCTGCCAATATGGGGTAGTGGGGTTGGAGAAGAGGAAGGAAACCGGATGCCACACCGTAAAGCTTTCTCTGGGTTGGAGCCCCCTTGAGACACTTCCAGAGGTAGGGTCTCCAAAACACGGTCAAAAACTGGGGGAAGGTTTTAATAAGTTGCCAGAAAGGTATCAAATCACCAAACGTTTCTTGCTTAACTGTTACGCACCAGGACTTGGGCTGGCAATGGGCGACACAAAGATGATGGTGACGTCCCTGACCGCAAGTTCCTGTCTGATCATCCATGGGCACATATATTTTTAAGACCACGTGTGGCCATCAGCTCAGGCCCAGTCCCTCTGCCACTGCACAGGAGGGGACCCACGGTTGGGGACAACAAAGAAAGATGCCTGTAGCCGTTAGCCCGGCAGACGGAGATTTCAGATAGAGGATGCCATCCAGGGCAAGAAAATGAACCTTTGCTTTACATTTACACTCGTGCCTGTTAACTAAGATTCTCTGAAAATATTGATGACACAAAGGAAATGAAGTCCTGCTTTGAAACCCAACTGATCAATTACATATGACTTAAGCCTTTCTAATATCACCATTTCAGAAATGCCTTAATGTTCATACAGACGAGAAACACAGCTCTTTCGCAAGAAGCGGGACTGCATTCCTTGGAGCCTATGTGTACAGTGAGGTGGAATATGAACAAAACTCCCAGAGAAAGGCCAAGGGGCCGCGCTCGGTGCGAACGCTGCACATGTGTCCGTCGTCCCCGCCCCCGCGCCCCGCCCCATCCATCCAGATTGTACCGGGTCCGCAAACGCTCGCGAGAGCCCTCCTGGCTTCCACGTTTGCCACGTTCCAAAGGACCGAGACAGACTGGAAAGTCGAAGGCGGCTCGCGCTCACAGGCGGCTACGACGCGCCCAGAACAGCCCCAAGTCTTCAGAGGGTGGGGAAGCACAGCGGGTTCCGTCCCTTCACAGGAACCGTTGTGATTGGCTCTAGTCTCCGTCACTCAGCCTTCCGCGGGGGCGGGAGGAGGCGGGGCTCGGGTGGAAAGGGGCGTGGCCGAGGGGGTGGGCGAGCCGCGCGCTCTCGCCAGGGGAGGGAGTCACAGGTTCAGCGCACGCGAGGGTTGGGCGCGCGCAGCCGGCACGCGGGCGAAAGTCCTCGGAGGCGCGGCGGGCGGTGCCGAGACACAGGCGCTGCTGCAGGAGCAGCGGCCCGCACCCGCCGCAGCGCTCGCCGCCGTCAGCGGCCCTCGCGCCTCCGGTGTCCGGGCTCACTGAGGAACCCCCCCACCCCTCGCCGGTTCCAGTAGTGCGCGCAATGGCCCCTCGCAAGAACGCCAAGGGCGGCGGAGGCAACAGCAGCAGCAGCAGCAGCAGCAGCGGCTCTGGCAGCGGCTCCGGCAGCGGCTCCGGCAGCGGCAGCCCGGGCGCGGGCACCAGCGGCGGCAGCAGCAGCCCCGGGGCCCGGAGAGGTCAGAGGCGTGCGGAGGCGGGAATGCGGGGCCGGGGTCCGGGACCGGCCCGGGCGGCTGGCTTTGCGGTTCAGTCTCCTCGGATTCCGCGGTGCATCTCCTTCATCCTCCGCGTCGCTCCTCCTTTTGGCGCGGGGCGGAGGCCGCGCGCGGTGGGCCAGGCGGGCGGACCGAGGGGCCGGGCGGAGCTGGGTCCGTGGCCTGGGGTTGGTCGCGCCGGGGAGCCCCTTCCCGGCTGATCCCTCACCTGCATGGCGCAGCCAGAAGGGAGGTTAGTGATCTACCCTTTCTTGGCTGTGCGTGGATCCAAAGATGGGAGGGAGTAAGGGAACCAGTTTACCTTTGCGGTGCATGTTTTGGGGAGTTTGGAAATGAGCCAAAGTCGGAGAAAATAAGTTCCTGCCAAACCAAGGTAATATTGTGTGTGTGTGTGTGTGTGTGTGTGTGTGTGTGTGTCGGGTGTGTTTGTGGGGGGGCCGGAGTGATTTGAATGTTCTTGGAAATAATTTTAAATACTTTTGCTCCTAGGTAGCTTTCTTAACATGCGTTGTTGTTGCCTTGAAAGTAGCATAGAATATCATAGAATACTGGGTGAACCTCTCGATTTTTTCAGTCTTCTCCTTAAAAACAACAACAACAAAAACAAAAACACGTTGGCTATTAACCTTTTTCTTCCATGTGCTTTACCCAGCAAAGAGAACAGTGCAGATGTTTTAAATCTGTTTCATCTCATATTTCAGCTGTTCTGTTTCTTTTATACTTCCTTGGACTCATTTAGGATATTGTTACTGCAGTACACGTGTGTGTGAATGTGAGCTGCAGTTTTTCCTTTTTGAGATGATCATTTTGAAATGATAGAGACTTTCTGTTTCCTGAGGTCTACAAGTAATCATTTTATATATAAAACGAATAAATTAGGTAACTACAGTCATACTTCATATAACTGTTTTTTTTAATAAGCACTTATCACCATGTCAAAGTATCTTATTTTCTTGTGTATTGCCTTCTTGTTTTACACCCTCTCCTTGTTCATTCCTATTGCCAACTCCTAGAATAGTCCTGGACTTAATAGGTGCTCAATAAATATTTGATTAATGAGTGAATGAATACATTTAAATGGTGAACGTAGTGTAATTAAACTCATTGCACAAATTAACATTCTAAGAGCTAATATTTATATCGTAAATGAAAAAAGATACAATTTGAAGTTAAAAGACAGCATATTAATTCATCGTTGACATAAGTAAAAGTTTGTGTTCCTTTGTCACTTGTCCCTAAATTCCAGTCAGTTGCTTAAAGAGGCAGAAGAGTAGTGAATTGTCTGGCAGCTTTGGCTACCCTTTTAAAAATTTCGAAATGGGAAGATCCTGGACAGCAAGCCGGGAAAGCTGATGAACAATACTGTTGTTTTGTTCATGTTAACTGCTGTCAGAAGTTTTCTGTAGCTGTTTATAAGGGAGGCACATCTTTGTTCCATTTTACTCTTTGTACTCATGGGTAGAAGAGGCCTGATTGCGTCTGGGGAAGTCATTGTATTAAGGACTATTACTGGGTTCGAATTAGTGCGGCGGGTTGGGGGTGTTGTAGGGGGATATATATTGTGTACTCACCAACGCTGGTTCTTCAATCACTGAACCAGTTTTAATAGGCAGGTAATAAATATAGGAAATGTTACGACCTAAATTAATGTATTTTGACTTGCCTATTTAGATACTTTTGAGCTGCCACTCCTGTCCATATTTGAGGATCTGTGGCCTTTTAAGCATTGTTCACATTGATTGCACAATTGTCATGAAAAGACACGGTATGTAAAAGAGAAAAGTAACTGTATTACCAAAAAAAAAACATAACAAAAACGGAACAGAAAACACTGAAAGAGTTGGTATTGGAGTCTTCCATGTTACGTAATGAGTAGTCTTTTTCCACATCCATTTTTTGTAGTAGTGTGTTCTGACTGTGTGCCAGGTAGAAGGCACTGGAGGTGGAAACAGCGATTCTTTGAGTCTTAAACAGTGTGAAAGTGTGATTCTGTTTGTCTTGTTTGCTTATATAGCAGGTCATACCTGGAAGATAAAGCTGACTTCCTTTTTGTTGCTGTGTTCCTTGAGTCTTTGAGGTGGAGACGTTGATTCCCAAACCATTCTCATCTGCTGGGAAATCACAGAAGCTGAAGAAATTTTAACAGTGGCATTACCCTAAGGCCCATCTAGTTCCCTCTTCTAATTTTACAGATGAGGGAATTAATGCCCAGAAAATTCGTGTAGTTCATTGAAGGTTGTAGGTCTCGGAAATCCAACTAGTTAATGTATGATCCAAGACTAGAACTCAAGTTTTCTTTCACTCATTCATGAAACCATCATACTTGAATTTGAGGTCCTCTAATTTGTAAGATTTTATGGGAATTTTAGATTTGAAGTAGATTATCCCTTTCCCTCTGTAGATGATCTCTTCCTTTTTGGTTAGGTCTGTGGCATACCACACCAAGTTGCTTAATAAAAAAGTATGCTTTTTTTCATATCCAGTTAAATTTGACTAAAATTAGGTTTGAAATAGTACTTTTGAAAATCTTAGTCTGAGAAGAAATGCACGGGCTTAAATAGGAAGTTTTTTGAGATGTGTTGCATTGAAAGTCTGAAGTTGATGACGACATTAGTCATATGAAATATTATTTGTTAAATTTTTGTATAAAAGCATGGGGGAGAAGGACTCAGTCCTTTGAAACATTCATTTTAGAGAGAAAGTGATTATTTGGCTTTCTCTTTATCTTGGTGATCATTTTGTTGAAAAGTGATGTTTAGAATTTTGGGAATTTATATAATGGATATTTTAAAGCAAGTGCCTACTTTTCATTTAAGTCTTCAACTTAAACTGAAAACCAATAAAATGTCTAGTTTCATACAGAACTCAGTTTTACCTCTTCAATTTTACTCTTTAAAATATAAAAGAAACATGAGTAAATTGGACATCTTGCCTTTAACTTGCGTATGAAAATTTCACTTGCTTGGCCAGTTGGGGCCAGGGGTAACTTAGTTCACATTTATTGATTGGAAAATTTTTGGTTGGGAAGGATCATGGTGACCTGTTGGGCTTACTTTGCAGTTCATAGACTCTGGTATGTGTAATGTTTTTGTTTAGCTTTTCCCTTTTGACTATCATTAAGTCTTTTCCTGTAGCTTTCTAAAATGTTACAGAAATGTAAACATCTGTTTGTCCAATAGTGGTTTGTCTAATAGTGTCAGGATACTATGTTACACTTCACCAGTAGGTGTCACTGTAGAATACTTTATCCTTTTTCAGTTAAAGTTTCGGTTATGTAATATCACTTAGTTTTTTTTATTTAATCAGTTCTGTACATACCCAGAACTATCGATGGACAACTGCTTAAAAACTCATAGGCATTGCTCTCAAGGTCTTTAACAGCAGATTTTTAAAGTTAGTAGTAAGATTTTGTCCCTAGCAACCTTATCTATTTAGCTTATCTTTTTTTTTTTTAAGATTATTTATTTATTTGATAGAGCGAGAGAGATCACAAGTAGGCAGAGAGGTAGGCTGAGGGGGTGGGAAAGCAGGCTCTCTGCTGAGCAGAGAGTCAGATGTGGGGCCTGATCCCAGGGCCCTGAGATCATGACCTGAGCTGAAGGCAGAGGCTTAACCCACCGAGCCACCCAGGTGCCCCTATTTAGCTCATCTTGTTTAGAATTAAATGCATTCATTTTTTTTTTAAAGGTTTTATTTATTTATTTATTTGAAGGATCCAGAGAGCACAAACGGTGGGGGGTGGGGGGAATGGCAGAGGGAGAGGAAGAAGCAGGCTCCCTGCAGAGCAAGGATCCTGGTGCCAATGGGATCCCAGCCCCCACCTCCCTCCCGTCATGACCTGAGCTGAAGGCAGACACCCAACCCACTGAGCCACCCAGGTGCCCCTAGAATTAACACATTCATATAGTATCTGCAAAACTTCTGCATTCACAGATTCATCTGATGGATACTAATCATTTAGAAATTTGTGTTTTCTTTCTTTCTACTTTCAGTATTGCTTGGACTGCTTGGTAACGAACAGACACAACACACTGCAGATTGCATTCTGGCTCCCTTGAATGAAGAGGCCTTGGTGAAATTCCCTTTCTTTATCGATAGGCTGTCAGGTAGGGCCAGTTGGTTTATCCTCCATTAGTCATTCTAGGACGAAGAGATAGGATGAAAGCTCCAAGAACAGTGTGCTGTTTTGTGTTCCTTTGAACAGCGTTTTGCACAGCCTGGCCCAGGATGATTTGAAACCAAGTACTAAAAAAATGTTCTGAGGGAACTCTTGAACACATTTTAAAAAGACCAAACATATTAACCTGTAGGAGGTAAAAGGAAAGGTCTGTATTTTAGTCTTCTTTAAAATCACATATGGCAGAGAGATTACTAGAAAAGGAAAAATTTTCCTTTTCAGCTAATTAGCAGCAAAGTAACTTGGATAAAGGCTCTTGTGGACTATCTACCTTATTTTTAGTCGGTACAGAAATTTAACCCCCGAGCTCTCCAATCCCAGTAGAATAACCCCACCCCCAAAAAGGAATGTACTTTGGAAATCTGTTGACCTGGATTCATGTCCATTTAAAAACCTTGTAGCTAGTCTCTCCAAATCTCTTACCCTGATCTTGGAAGAAATCTTCTCTCATTTTATGGTTGTTATAGCCCTCAAACCAATTTTCTATGCCTTTGTGTTGACCTCAGATACATTCATTAAAGTTTTTCTAATGGCAAGGGTGAGTACAAAACTTTGGAGGACATAAGGGTGCAGAGCTAAGCAGGTCATTGCATGCCTGACATTTTTTTGTGGTTGAAAAACAAATCATTTTGTTACATTCTGTTAGCCTATGTGTTACAAGAGAAATGGCTGCCCCAGCAGTAGTGTTTCTAGTATGGCCTGGAGGACCACATGATGCATTTCTGTCCACCTCTGAAGGCCAAGGTACACCATTTGTAGGTCTGTTATGTTGTTTTATCTTACT